AAATATATATTTTATTTCATTTGTCGGTCTATGCTACCTACTTCAGATTCCAAATACTAAAAATGACTGAATAGTACTACAACAAGTTGGTAACTTCTTGAAACCAAAAAAATATGCTAAATCAACCGATCCATCTCACTTTCTCAAGTAGACACAAATGCTACGATATCGAGGTAACTCCAGCAAGGTAAAGGAAGCTTGGCATTAGAAGGCTTCCAGACAAGGCATTCTTTTAGAATAATATGGCTGTAGCACAGCATATTATATATGCGTACTGAGGTGGCGAAGGAGCACACACCGAGCCATCACCTGTTTCTCCTGAAGGTCTTAGAAAGGGATGGCGAGCCAGTTCTCGAAGCCCCGCGGCCCAAGGGTGTCCGGGTGGACGAAGGGCGTGTGAAAGCAGTTGTTTAGGAGGGGATAGATGACGCGTCCGCCGGCCAGGTAGGAGCCCCAGAACCCGAAGGAGCCGACGGTCATGATGGAGTGGGAACAGGCGGCCAGTAGGGCCATGTCTTCTTCAGGGAGCGCCATGTCTGCAAAACACACTTATTCACCTTCTGCAGTATACATGTACATATATACAAACATATTATGGACCACAATTTTCCAAGATGGACTACAATAATAGAAACTCGTGTAAAGACCCACGATGATGGCTTTCTATACTACCATCGAGGGATTACAATGAAGGTATCAAGGAACTAGATGAATGACACAGGAACTTTAAAAAGTTCTAATAACCAAGTTATAATAGAGGATAAAATGACAGCAAACACTATGAATGAATACTTTACATCAGTGTCCACATTTGCGAGATTAGCCAACATCTCAATACCCACACAAACGCGTAATCAGGAAGAGCACTGATAAACTAAAACATTCAAAAGCTCTAGGTGAGAACGGAATTCAATCCAAATTCGTAAAGGAACTGGCAGATTAACTATGTCTCCCACGGAAATTCGTCTCAGACAACTCTGGATCAAGGAATAGTCCCCCCTAGCCCCGTCACCTCCTGTTTTCAAGAAAGGCAGAAAGCGCTCAACAGAAAACTACCGTCCTATCAGCACAACCTCGCATATCTGCAAGCTCATGGAGAGACTCCTAAGAGAGGGTCAATTCACCTGAAATGACGGTGTCAGGGGCGTTCTGAAGATGAAGTCGAACGAACGGGAGGTCATCCGAACACACCACGAACACCGGATTGCTCACTGTGGCCCGGTAACGATCCATGGCAGCGACGATGAACTCGACTTGTGGTAATTTGCACCGGAAGAAGCGCTACTGTGGACAGGAAATATATTAAAAGCTGTTCCCAGCTTTCAGGTGCGCTTGAGTGAGAGTGATGGCACGGATGGCTAGTGTTATGGAGAGGTTATGGGAGTGTGGTTGTGGTGGTTATGGGAGTGTGGTTGTGGTGGTTATGGGAGTGTGGTTGTGGTGGTTATGGGAGTGTGGTTGTGGTGGTCCATCGTTCATCACAATGAAACGAATTAAGTGCGTATGGGGGCAAGTAACAACATCAGCAGACTAACAGACGTTGTCACAGCTCGAAATGTCACAGTTTGTAATATCTCCATAGCTCAAACAATTATGTATTAGGGATAAGACCTACAATTAATATATAATGACTAACTGTAAATATATATCTAATGAAATATAATATTCTCTGTAACTAGCTGACAGTATAATTATAAGGTGTAAAGGATATGATGAAATTGTTAATGAAATAATCTCCGTTGAGGTCTGATAAAGATCTTTTGTGCCCTCTGTAATCCTTTTTGCGCTACTGCTCACAGGATGAGTATGGGGTGCACAATAATCTAGTCGACTCAGGCGGCAACAATAAAAAAAACAAATAGCTTTATGCTATCCTATTTTAGCAACTTTGTCATAGAACTCTAAGTTTTTCAGGCACGACTTTCACTGCATATGTCCATGCTGACCTTTCGTTCAAAGTTTATTATTTTCAGGTGTTCAATTGTTCTCAACTTGATTACTTTGTCCTGCACTTTACACGAAATACTTCCCAGTGACACTAGTCTGTAAATAATGCCTTCTCTTTGTTTTTGAATATAGGGACTATATTTGCCCTTTTCCATATTGCTGGAAGATTTCTTGTCCCAAGTGTTTTATTGAAAGCTCCAGTTTGCCAAATAACGACAGGTTCTGAACCCATATAAAGACAGGTTCTTTATATGGGATATAAAGTCTGGTCATTTTGATTTTGTTGCATATAATTCTTCCAGGTTTTTTGGGGGTTCCCTTCTTCTACCACGACTACTGTGTCATCCAGTGTTTCCTTTGGCCTTTCATCTCACAACCTTGGTCTCTACGTTGCTTCTTTCGTGAAGATCCCTTGATTTTTTTTGTATGAATAACGATAAGGTTATTCACACACCTGTTAGTTTCTTTGTGTGTTCACTTGGCTCTTCAATCTGATCAGATGGTGTCTTACCGTTGTTTTACTCCTTATATGGCTATATAGCTTCCATATATATATATATATATATATATATATATATATATATATATATATATATATATATATATATATATATATATATATATGCTTCCATCGTTTAATTTGTTGTCTTCCCTTCCCTTCCAAGACCCTTCACTATCCACTGACCTCCATGTACCGCACGTAGTCGCCCCGACGAACATGAACGCCCACGAATGTGATGTTGTCGCCTCGCAACGCCCGCACTCGGTCCAGGAACGACGAAACCTGCAAGAAAAACGAACCTTTTTAAGACGACGACGTCTGTGAAAATGGCGAAGTCTAAGAGATCTACGACGTCTGTGAGACCGACGAAGTCACTGGTACCGAGCATATATCCAAAAAAGAAAAAAAAAGACTACTTAGTTAAACATTGGTTTACCATTCATGGTCTTTTCCCCCCTTCTGGAAATTGTGCTTCACATACGAAGCCAGTACATCCCGGTAACCCCAGACTTAGTGAGTAATTATCATTCTATCCCCTCAGCCCCTGGGATGACATTTTGGTTGTTTTCTTGTCCCTTGTCCAGAAGGTGTACTTAATGAGCTGGTCCCATAATTCCCTCGAGTAATTACAGAGTGATGAATATCAAAGATATCCGGTTATAGTAATTATTTTACCATTCAAAGTTTATATATTTAGGAATTGCTCGTCTTCACACTAAGGTCATATACCCTCTCTCTCTATTTATATATATATATATATATATATATATATATATATATATATATATATATATATATATATATATATATATATATATATATATATATATATATATATACAAAATTTCTTACATTCTTGTATAGCCACTAGCACCCATAGCGTTTAAGTTTACAGTTATTAAGTTTAAAGTTCCTATATTACTTTCAACTGGTACACCTTCGGGTAAGATTTGCCCTCTCGGCCTGACACCTCAAACAGGCATTAAACAGGAGTGAAGAATAAGATTTCTCTAGGCCAACAGGATAACAAGACTTATTCTCATGGAAAGAATTAGTAAGATAATCCTTGCTTGCCTGCTTGGCCCCTTCCCCCCCCCTCTCCCTGCCTCCCTCCAGATATTCCGATCCATATTTTTTCCAATATTCCGAATAAAAATATTAATTCCCATGCAGGTAATGTATAGGTATTCCATTTCATGTGTAGGTATTTCCAACAGAAAGGCAACAGAAATATTTATCAACGTGAGAGTTGCGACAGATTTCCAAGACAAGTAATGTTAGCGTAGTTCATCCTTTACATGACGACAGAAAACGGTGATGGTACTAACTTTTGCCTGAAGCTCGGGCCGGATACGTAGGTTGCTTCGGATGACGTGGTGGTGGTCGGCAAGCATCCGCATCCGGTTCGGGTATCCTACCGGCGGGCATACTGTTATGATAAGCGGTAAGTCTTACACATACCCAGAGTACAGTTTAGTCACTTATTATGAACGCAATACCCATCCTGTGGGCGGTGGTGGACCCCCATATACCCATCCTGTGGGCGGTGGTGGACCCCCATATACCCATCATGTGGGCGGTGGTGGACCCCCATATACCCATCTTGTGGGCGGTGGTGGACCCCCATACCCATCCTGTGGGCGGTGGTGGACCCCCATATACCCATCCTGTGGGCGGTGGTGGACCCCCATATACCCATCCTGTGGGCGGTGGTGGACCCCCATATACCCATCCTGTGGGCGGTGGTGGACCCCCATATACCCATCCTGTGGGCGGTGGTGGACCCCCATATACCCATCCTGTGGGCGGTGGTGGACCCCCATATACCCATCCTGTGGGCGGTGGTGGCCCCCCCATATACCCATCCTGTGGGCAGTGGTGGACCCCCATATACCCATCCTGTGGGCGGTGGTGGACCCCCATATGCCCATCCTGTGGGCGGTGGTGGACCCCCATATACCCATCCTGTGGGCGGTGGTGGACCCCCATATACCCATCTTGTGGGCGGTGGTGGACCCCATACCCACCTTGTGGGCGGTGGTGGACCCCATACCCACCTTGTGGGCGGTGGTGGACCCCATACCCACCTTGTGGGCGGTGGTGGACCCCATACCCACCTTGTGGGCGGTGGTGGACCCCATACCCATCGTGTGGGCGGTGGTGGACCCCATACCCATCCTGTGGGCGGTGGTGGACCCCCCATATACCCATCCTGTGGGCGGTGGTGGACCCCCATATACCCATCCTCTGGACGGTGGTGGACCCCATACACCCATCAAACATATATATATATATATATATATATATATATATATATATATATATATATATATATATATATATATATATATATATATATATATCGCAATGCCCCCGTTGCATCTCCTCACCCTCGAGGATGAAGACCTTCTTGAAGGCGTTGTCCCGGTACTCGGCGACGGCCCGCTGGAAGGTGGGCTCGAGGTGGCTCACCATGTCGTTCTTCAGGTAGTCGGGGTCGACCCGCTCAGCCTCGTCCATGTCCATAGCGTCCATTAACAGCTCGTTACCTAGCAAAGGAGGGAAAAGAGCGGGGGGGGGGGGGGGGAATCATTAGGAATTCAGTAAATTGGCAAACTGATATAGTGGCAGGTGATTCTAGCACGAATTTTTCCCCCTGAGAAGAAAGGTCTTAAAAATGAACTCTCCAAATTGCACAATTATTGGACCTGATATGTTTTTTCTAAAGTACATCTTAGCATCTTCTCGACTCTGACATTGGTTAGGAGAAAGTAAGGTCAAGTAATTATGATCAGATATCGCAAAGTTGTTACAGTACTGGGAAGTCGTTATATGACACTGGGAAGGGATATGAGGATATAAGGATCTGGGATAGGACACAGGAACGGAATGGTGCCCAACCACTTCGGGGGAAAGGCCGGTCGGGGGTTAAAAAAACACTTGACCACTATCCATACATTTCCCTTTTTCAGAGATGGCTGCTTTCCCCAACTCCACACTAAATGATTAACCTTATCTCTAGCCTTGTGTTCTTGCCAATTGCTCCTGCTGGACAACTCTCTTGTCTGTGGGGACTCTCAGTGTACATGTTTGTCCCCTGTACATACCAACCCAGCCTTGTCCTAGCATCTTCAAGTACACTTTCACTCTAACTGCTAACTATCAGCGAATCACGCCGTCAGAACTGTTGCAAGCCTTCTTATCAACGCAGGAAACTAATTTCATCAGATTCAATCTAATTCAACCTCACTCCCTCTGTGTATCTTGATTTAAACAGTTACATAGTCTGCCGGCACTATGGCGCCTTGCGGTAATTACTTACATGATTTATAATAATAATAATAATAATAATAATAATTTTATTTAGGTAAGGTACATACATAAAGAGATTTTACAAAGTTTGTTGGCTTTATAGATAGAGCTAGTACATACAATGCCTAAAGCCACTATTACGCAAAGCGTTTCGGGCAGTCTCTCAGTTCGGGCAGATTTACTCTCTTTTGTTTCTGCCACTCACTGGGGTGAACTCTGCCAACAGTTCTGTTAACAGGCAGCTATAGAGCTTCGTGAACATATGAATATATAAACCTGTCCTCAGGGATGATGGCACTAGTTCTGCTAACAATTTAATATCTAAAATATAGATAAAGACAAGGTCAGCTGCTCGTATTCCAATTGCTTATGCCAGGTAAGGTCAGGTGGCCGGGGGCTCCCACTACACACTCACGAGAGGTGAAGGTTTGGTGAGCAGACGAGGAGTCACAATGACGTGGCTGAAGTATGTTGACCAGACCACACACTAGAAGGTGAAGGGACGACGACGTTTCGGTCCATCCTGGACCATTCTCAAGTCGATTGTCGATTAAGTCGTCAAGTCGATTAAGTCTCAAGTCGATTAAGGTTTGGTGTCCATGTTCCACAATTCCTCTCAACTGAAACGGGTGAAGTGGTCAAGTATTCACAGGAGTTCAATACTACTCCATGCTCTACTTCCTACAGGCCAGCACACACACACACACAGCACCGCTCCTGTGCCAGGTAAGTCCACTACGGGCTCACCATAGCCCGTGCTACTGGAACTTGTTTCGAGTAGCTGAATCTATAACAACAACAACTACAGGATAGTCAGCCTCTCGTGACTCCACTACTCACTCACTACAGGAAGCGTCAGGTGTCCAGGAGCCACGAGCGACGAGACTCTACCGAAGATGTGCTGGGTGACGGCGACCGTGGCGGAGTGGCTGCCGTGGAAGGTGAGGGCCGTGGCGTAGCTGTTGAGGCAGTTGCCCAGTTGACCCATCGTGGAGAACACCATCAGTGGCCACCGCACCCGCGACGTGTTCGAGAACGCCTGGTTACCCAAAGAAAAATGTTTAGAAATGCATTAGAAAATCTATTCTGCATATTCCATCTCTTCCTTCCTGTTCACTCCACTCAGCGGCCGACCTCAAATACATATTTATCCATTTTATCCTGCTGTTCATTTTAATTCATAAAGGGGGGGTTGGCGGTTGCATGGAATGAACATTGGTCTTTGTTGATGAGGATGGGCTGCTATATTTTCATGGAAAGGTATTAAACTATGCTTTCCAGATTATCTAATATGTATACTGTATGTATACACATCACAGGGAAATATGTTAAACACGCCAATTAAGGATATTTCAAACAATGTAATTTTTAATTTACTCTATAATTAAACCCTTGAGTTGATTAGGAATTTCTGCCAAAATTATTTGCAATTCATTTTATGAACTTAATTTTATTTTCCTTCCTGTATGTTTCACATTAATGTATCATTATGAAGTTTAGTTATGTGCTCTAAAATGGCATGATACAAATTGTGGTTGATTATGCATAAGATTGACAGGAAACCATCAATAAGGCATGTACTCACTTCTTCGTAATGAAGATAGTCTTTGGGGTACTGAGCGAGTCCCCCCTCACTGCCGCTGGAGGCGGTGTTGTCCTCAGTGCGGAGTCTCCCGAGGTCCCTTCCCTCTTCTCTCACAACATCTTGAGCGCTCAGCTTCTCCTTCGTGTCAGCCGACGACAAGGTCTTCCCGCCGGTCTTTGCCAGCACCTTGTCCTTCAGGCCGTCCATCGTCACCATCCCCAGCTGCGTCACGCCCTTCACCACCTCCTGCTGCTTCCCCGCCTCCTGCCGTCTTGACCCTGTAACACAGGAGAAGTAAACGACGCGCTTCGGCGGGAATAACTCACTTGGCCAATATAAACCATCTCAACTCTTTCTTTATAGCTATTACGTTAAATTTTTGATCATACGACAATTCTGATATGTAAACATATTATACGAATCATTAAAAACATGAACCTAACCTAGCCTAGCTTAGGTTTACAGTTTTTGACCCACAAGGCGCGAATAACCACGTTTTCTATGACTCGAGCATAGAAAACGTGGTTGTCTGCGAGCCGCTATGACGCAAAGTACCCAGTATCAATATCAGCTCTTGGGGGGGATTTTAGCATCAAAACACTCAGTATTATTTAAGAAGATAGGTTCTTTTGACATGTTTAACACAATGCCGCAGTATATAGCGTAGAAGATATATGGTATTCGTTTGCTCTCCTATTTCTTTCACAGTGATTTCTCACCATCCCACGAGATGAAGGAATGACAACAGAGACAATTAAACACTGATAATACCATAGACGAGTATATGGCTCAATAACCACATCCATAATCAATCCATAAACGACCCCTCTTCCCTCCCTCTCAATAAAGAGGCAATAACACCAACAAAAAATATATATATTACACAGACACATAATAAAGCGACAGCAAAAAGACTTACTGAAGCCTCTCTCGATGTTCAGTGGGACCAGGGAGCGGTGAGGGTACCTCCTTTCCAGCTGCAGGACCAGCAGGAACCAGGAGAGAGCCGCCATGCACAAAAGCCAGCCCGTCAACCCAAATATACCTGTTCTCGACCTCGCTGCAATGACTGAAAAGAGGTACAAAAGGAATTGATTTTGATGTTGGCCAGACCACATACGAAAGGAATGTTATTTTGGGGAGTGTATATGCTCTGGTGCTCCGTTTAATACGTTTTCAATTGATTTTTACTTAAGTTAATCATCTTGAAATGGCAAGAGACATGTGAGGAACCTATAGCCACACACACACACACACACACACACACACACACAAGGCGTCCGATTGAGCAATGCACTTCCACACTGACAGGCTCAAGTAGATGCAGCTGCTTAGGAAATGGTTCTGGGTGATGTGGGATTTCATGTGTGCTGTTTTTGGGATTCGACGTGATGCTTTGGGATTCTTTGGGGTGCGTTTGGCATTCCATGAGGTGCTTTTGGAATTCTATGTGGCACTCTTGAATCATATGCGGTACTCTAAGATATTCTGTGGTGCTCTGTGCATGCTCTAGAGTTTTATGAGATGCACTTTAGCTCTCTAGAAGGGCTTTAGGATTCTATAGAGTGTTCTAATATGCTATGGTGTGCCATGGGTGTGTCTTTCATATGCTCTGGGGGGCTCTGGTGTGGTCTGAGGAGTGCTGTATTAACCTGTCAGGTGCTCTGGGGTGCTATATATAGTGTTCTGATACTGTTGGAGGCAAGGGTGACCACAGAAAGTCTGGACAGATAATAATTACACTCCGAGAAATTCTAAGGTTCACCACACTACATACCGAACACAAATTGAAAAAAAAAGAAAATGTGGAACTCTGTTTTTATAAGCAACAAATTACAAAAAATGACATTGCCTTGATCAGGCATTGTAGACATACTTGATGAGCCATACATACTCATACTGGTCTCACCCGGACCAGGTGTAGGCTGAGTTTAAAGCCTGTTTACCAGCCTGTTCACCAGCCTGTTCTCCAGCCTGTTCACCAGTTCACCAGTGCCTGTTTACCTGTGTGGCATCACGATTGTTCAACCTGTCACCATGAATGTGTGTGTTTGCAAACATACACAACACAGACACACACACACACACACACACACACACACACACACACACACACACACACACACACACACACACACACACACACACACACACACACACACACACACACACACACCTACACACACAGTTTCAAATGCAGATATGATAGAGCCCAGTAGGCTCAGGAATCTGTACACCAGTTGCTTGACAGTTGAGAGGCGGGATTAGAGAGCCAAAGCTCAACCCCCGCAAGCACAAATAGGTGAGTACACCCCCACCCCCACCACCGGCAACACACATGAGCGAGCTTTAACACAAGGAAAGTTTGAGCCAAAATTTTCGGCAGTACAGTTGGGTGAGCAGATCAACCCTTTGTGGGGGACGACTGGCGCATCTCGCACCTCCTCCTGATACACACACCCACCCACACACACACATCTTCTGATACCCACCCACACACACCTCCTGATACCCACCCACACACACCTCCTGATACCCACACACACACACACACATCTCCTGATACCCACACACACACACACACACACCCACACACCCACACACACCTCCCCGTTACCGGTACCGGAGGGGGTCAGGCGAAGCGCATCACTATACAATCATCCCTTACTGGGTGTTAATGATTGTTACCATGCTTAAGGTACGGCAGTGTTTGTAGCGTCCGCGTGACGGTTTGGCAACTGCTATCAACGCAATAATTGACCTGTCAAGCTGACAGTCATATATATATGTGTGTGTTTGTATATGTGTGTGTGTGTGTGTGTGTTTACTATTTAGGCCTACAGAATGCAGGTATTAGCTCCTGGACCCCGGACCAAGGGAAGCAGGGGTGAAGAGGAGTGAGGACAGTCGGGGGGGTGGGGGAGTGGGGGTGGGGATTGGGTGGTGTGGTTGGCCTGGGGGGAGGGGGGATGATGTGGGTGGTGAGGTGTTCCTGAAACAGACTCAGAACCCTGTGAGCATCATATGACCTTCATGAGCAACCCATCATCATCCTGCACCCCCCCTTCTCCTCATCCCCCTGCCCCCCCCACGACACACGAATTCCTCCACCCCCCCTGCTCCCTCACCTCTCACCTCTGTTTTTACCATCCTCACCACACAGAAAAAATATCTCTCTCCCCCCCCCCCCTCTCTCTCTCTCTCTCTCTCTCTCTCTCTCGTCTCTGTCTCTCTCTCTCTCTCTTAATTTCCAAATAATTTTTAGAAGAGACCATTGCAAAGGCAAACTAGCCTAATTAACATTCTATATATCATCACAAATTCTAATTGCCAGATTAGAACACGAAACCTCTGCTGTATTTGTGTTTAAAAAATAAATTATTGTTTTCACTAGTCCCACTTTAGTGTTATTTTTCACACCTTGTTGCATTGACCTTTTTCGTTAATGTCAGCAGATTCCGCTACTCTTATGCGCTCTGTCGTGTTGTTTCACTCCTGGCGAGACTGAGAGTGTCCGAGTGCTCTCAAGTGCGCCCCCCAAGTGCCTACAAGGGCCTATACAAGGGCCTTCAAATGTGTCTCATGTTATGCTCCCAAGTGACCGAGGGTGAATCATGGTGGGTAGGGGAGTATTATAGGCCAGTCGGTGTCGGCCCAAGTGAAATTCTTGAAGAAATATTGACATTTATGGAGATTACACCTCTCTTCCTCCCCCCCCCTGCCATGCGATTTTCAAGATGTTAGATCTGAAATATTTGTTGTGTTTTCCATAGAGTTGCTCAGCTGTCACAGAGCTTCGTAATAATATATTTTCTTAGAGAGGGGGAGAGAAAGAGAAGGAAGAGGAGAGGTAAAAGTAGGGAGGATGAAGAAGGGTGAGAAAAATAAATAAATCACAATATTATTGTTAGTAATGGAGAGATGTATCGTTAAGAATGATCAATATTAATGTTAATATTCTTGATACACACAGAGAAAGTAATCACACTAACGTGATGTATCGACAAGAAAATCCATAGCAGCCGCGCTGAGGGCTCGAACCTGCGCGGGTGGGTGTGCCCACGCCCCCCCCTCCCCCAGACAACCAGGCCACGATACGGGGTCAAAAGGATTGTAACCTGTAACAAGATTGTAACCTGGAGTTGACCTCTAGGTTACAATTCTTTTGATCATGTCGTGGCCTGGTTGTCTGGGCGGCGTGTGCGGAAGAGCACCCACACACCCACAGGTTCGAATCCTCACCACCGGCTCCTACAGATAGTCTTGATCTAAGTCTTAACATTGCAACTATTAATGACAAAACTTTTAATATTAGTGGTAAAACACTATGATTGCAACCTCCATGATGCATGATTGCAAACTCAATGACCTGAAACATGTTCAACGTTGATTAACATAGATCAACTCTTGTGGCGGCCCGACCGACCCATCCCAGCGACCCTGGCCTCAGAAACGTCATATTAGAGCACGAAATTAATTCACTAGAGCCTGAAATTGGCTCGTTTTATGCTTAATTATTGGTGAAGGGCCGCCACTGTGGAGGTGATAGATAGAGAGACATTCATGAAAGATGCCATCATGGCTGCCACCAGTGATGTCCGCGAGGACACACATTTTAAAACGGCACTTTACATTTTCTTGACGTTGGGAAATCTTAGGAGGACGGGGAAATCTTAGGAGGACGGGGAAATCTTAGGAGGACGGGGAAATCTTAGGAGGACGGGGAAATCTTAGGAGGACGGGGAAATCTTAGGAGGACGGGGAAATCTTAGGAGGACGGGGAAATCTTAGGAGGACGGGGAAATCTTAGGAGGACGGGGAAATCTCAGGAGGACGGGGAAATCTTAAGAGGACGGGGAAATCTTAGGAGGACGGGGAAATCTCAGGAGGACGGGGAAATCTTAGGAGGACGGGGAAATCTCAGAAGGACGGGGAAATCTTAGGAGGACGGGGAAATCTTAGGAGGACGGGGAAATCTTAGGAGGACGGGGAAATCTTAGGAGGACGGGCCGGGTGCAACAGTGAGTCGTGGTGTCCTAACACTCGATCAGATATGATACGTAACAGTGATTGGCATGAGTTATCAAGGACGACGTGTGTCGAAATGTTTCACTGGCGGTGCTTCACGCGTGTATGGTGACCCTCCAAGATCACTGAATTGTAGCTTGAATGACCTCAAATTTCCATTGCCAGCCTCTCCAACATTCTTGTCTTACCCACCAACATTAATTTTCTGGCAGTCAAATGCATGCGTGCATATAAAAAAACAAAAAAACCAGACATATATATTTATACACATGGATAGACATAAATATTCGTCGCCTTCCCCTCAAAAAGAGAAGCGCATGCATTAACACCTCTCGTTATACTTGGTATACTCTCCACAGCTGACACTGCACGAAGCAGCATTAGAGATCACAGCATAGACTGTTGTCCCCTTAGACCCGATGCCATCACCACTGTTCCCAGAGACAAGCACCTGTAGACAATAGCTCTTGTCCAGCATTTAGTTATGACTGACTTAACTGTGGTGGCGGTTTGGGTCCCACTCGTTTGACTTCCTTCACCACGTATTGGTGGCATAATATGCTTCAAAATAAATTAGACTGCCGATAATTGAGTGTAAAACATACAGACGTCGTTGTGGGGCTGTAACCGGACAGTTGTTAGTGAATATTAAACAGTCTTCAAGAGTTATCGTACTCTGGACAGATCAGACGATATTAGCACAATTGACGAACATCATAACAAAAAAGATTAATGACAACGAAGTGGACATATAACCTTAAGAACTCACCAAGTGGTGGTGGCCCCCGGGGCATGCTGGAGATCCACTTGTGTCCTCTCACCCGCCGCCCTTCGTCACGGCCGCCAGCAGGAGCAGCAGGAGGACGGGAGGAGAAACTCAGCTGGCTGTCACTACCGTGCGCGCGCTCATCATCGCTAATGTAAAAATTGTTGACCTGAATCACTTACCCGCCACCCGGCACGACCCTGGTGGGGCAGGCCACCAACTGTATCTTGTTGTATGTTGCTTCTGCAGTGTAGCGATTAACTGTAGTTTGAATATTACTGTAACTCGTTAGCGGGTTGGCTGTGTCTTCTCGAATGTTGTTTTGTCCACTGTACCCGGCGGTACTCAGTTCTACCCTCGACCTGTCCTATACTCAATTATCTGTACCTGTGTTCACTAAACTACTGTACCACTATGCAGCTTACCATATCTAAGTGTACCCCCGTCACTGTACCCGTGCTCTGTACTCCAACTACTGTACCCCATCCACTATATCCCATTAACTGTGCAGTGACTCCTACAGCGGCGCTGGACACTTGTGCTGTGGGCTCCGTGGCTGCGGCCGCCAGCAGGCACCTGACGTCCTCACCTCCTCCAGGAAAACAGTCAGAATATTCTCCCTGGTGAATATTTTGGCCTCGTAGCCTCGAATAAGGGGCCTCGTAGCCTGGTGGATAGCGTGCAGGACTCGTAATTCTGTGGCGCAGGACTCGTAATTCTGTGGCGCAGGACTCGTAATTCTGTGGCGCGGGTTCGATTCCCGCACGAGGCAGAAACAAATGGGCAAAGTTTCTTTCACCCTGAATGCCCCTGTTACCTAGCAGTAAATAGATACCTGGAAGTTAGACAGCTGTCACGGGCTGCTTCCTGGGGGTGGAGGCCTGGTCGAGGACCGGGCCGCGGGGGACACTAAAAAAAGCCCCGAAATCATCTCAAGATAATCTCAAGAAGAAGATGGTGTGTTGTATGTGCTGATGAGTTCCCACACTCAGCGGTCCCTCATCATGCTATCTTCTTGAGATGATTTCGGGATCCGGGATAAATTATAGATTATAAATTTCGGGATTAGTTATACGCTTAGTGTCCCCCGCGGCCCGGTCCTCAACCAGGCCTCCACCCGCAGGAAGCAGCCCGTGGCAGCTGTCTAACTTCCAGGTATCTATTTACTGCTAGGTAACAGGAGCATCAGGGGGAAAGAAATATTTTGGCTATTTGTCTCCGTCTCCACCGGGGATCGAACCCGGAACCACCTCAGAACTACGAATCCGAAGCGCTGTCCACCCAGCTGTCAGGCGCCCTGTCAAGCATGCTGCTTGAATATCTGTCTTATAAATCTAACTAAATTACTATTATAACATCAACAGAGAAAAAAACAAAACACTCGGTTCTGCAATATTCAGATAAATTAGATAATTGATAAAAGAATCAAATTTTAGATAATTGATAAAAGGATCAATATTTAGATAATTGATAAAAGGATTAAAATTTAGATAATTGATAAAAGGATCAAATTTTAGATAATTGATAAAAATACTCGTATAGCCTAAAATGTAATAGGCTACATTTGTTTCTTTAAAAAAACAAGAGATAAAGGGATTCGCTAATCCGTGTTTGCTGTCTCACACCCACTGGCAGCTACCAGCAGCCGCCAGGCTCCTGTACTGACAGCTGAATACGGCTCATTTGCCTGCCGGGTTGAGTCAGGTTGTCACAGGCCCTTTTAGTTTGCATTAAATTCTCACACCTAAACAAACGTCCATTACTGCCACAGTTCTCAATAACACTCGTATCTATATATATCTAAATGATAGTGACCTGTAACGGAACAGATCAAAGCATACTTTAATACATAAAACTGCCGTTTGTAGCCTGAGCGTAATCGAGCAACGGGCAACTGTTGGCGTTGGTGGCGTTAAGGGTGTACGACGGGGGGTGAGCGCTCCGGGCAGACGGGGTGTGTGAGTGAGTGTTGCTGGTGTTGTGGCGGGTGTTGTAGCGGGTGTTGTGGCGGGTGTTGCGGTGGGTGTTGGTGTACCGTGGGGGGGAGGGAAGGAAGGGATCTTTAGCTGTGTATAGTGAGTTTACCAGAAGCGACGCTGGTATACCTCGGAGGGAGAGATACATTGGGACTGTTAAATTCGGTTTCGTTTGGTGAAAGGCTTGGCTGCTTGAGGCGCTCACGGTGAACTTGCGTCAGTGTGGCTAAGTGTTGCAGCCACCACAGTAGTTGTCAACAGTAGGTGGATAGACGGTTTCATTTGCAACTTTGAGTTTGGTTCCTTGAAACACAAGGGTGTGAAAAAGTTGCTCTGGTGGTAGAGCAACTATTTGACCAAGTTGATTTGACCACCAGTCCGTTGTTTTGACCACGAGCCCGTTTTTTGAACACCAGCCCGTTGATTTGATCACCAGCCTGTTATTTTGACCACCAGCCTGTAGTCTTGACCAGATGCCATTAACACAAGGCTGGTTTAATTACAGGTCAGGACACCTTGATTACAAGACACGTGTTGTGACCATACCCAAGCAGCGGGAAGAAGCATGAGTGAGTATAACGTTTACTCAAGAGATGAACAACGTTATGAAACGTTGCTCCGTTAAACGTTGCTTTCCCAGCTTTGCCCAGAGAGTAGTTGTGGTAGTTTAACTACACGTAACGTCCCAGTGGACACAATATCTAAGATTAACGTCGATTTAACGTTATTCAGATACAAGGTGTGTTTACCGTAAACGAGATGTTGTCTAACATTAGACTTTTTGTTGTAATTTTTTCCGATGCGACGTTTAATTTCTAATATTTAACAATAGCCTCGATGTATTTAGTCTTCAGACCCGATGTTTCGACCATAATCTCAACAGCTTGAGGAAAATATCTGACGTGTAAACCTTGAACTCGGGGATTTGACTAATGGTTTAGTTTCTCCTCACTTTCATAATTCAAAGCTTTTCTTGCAACCAATCCAAATTTAGAGGCTGGATTGATTCATGCGACATAAATCATTTAATTGCTATAAACATGTATAACTGTATGCGCGTGTTAGAGTGATTGAATATAAATTCTCGCAATTTGACAGCAAAAAGAGTCGTGTTGTATATATATATATATATATTGGCTTTTTGTCAAGCAGTTTCTAAACTTCTTCCCAAATTTTGACAGGCTGCCTCGGGATGGCAGCCTGTCAAAGCCAGGCGGGGATCCTTCAGCTTGTCAAAGGCAAGAGGGCCTCCTCAGCCTGTCAAACGAATGAGGGGCCCACCTCAACCTGTCAAAGGCAGGAGGCCCTAGGGGCCCCCAGAGTGATCCAATCTTAAAAAAAAAAAAAACACTGAACAAAGGTATCTAATTTCATACCAGGAGCAGACGGACTCTCTTTGAATCTATTTTAAATAGATAACATGTAATATCGAACAAATTATATTGGTGAAAATACGTCAAAAAAGCACAAGCAGACTATTTTTGTACCAAAGGAGGTTCACTGTTATATTATTTGGAAGATCTTTAGATGTGAGGAGAAGCCCTCGTGATGAGAGGAGATACAAAAAAGACTGTTTGATTCATCAAGGTTCATCTCCGGGTTGACAGGCAAGAGAACATCATCTTGCCGGAACCATCACCAGCATCAACAATGACGCTGGATATCAAGATGCTCCCTATGAAAATTCATTATTTTATACGTTTTGCAGGTGAGTCTTCCTGTCCCTAAAGTAAGTTTAGTAAAGTGAGCCACAGACATACTTAATTTTTTGTTTTCATTGCCAGAGTAGTGAATAAGATAAATTCTCTATAGAATAAAGCTATGGAGGTAGACTTCATACACAGCTTCAAGCTGTGGAGGCAGACACCAGACACAGCTTCAAGCTGTGGAGGCAGACACCAGACACAGCTTGAAGCTGTGGAGGCAGACACCAAACACAGCTTCAAGCTATGGAGGCAGACACCAAACACAGCTTCAAGCTGTAGAGGCAGACACCAAACACAGCTTCAAGCTATGGAGGCAGACACCAAACACAGCTTCAAGCTGTAGAGGCAGACACCAAACACAGCTTCAAACTGTGGAGGCAGACACCAAACACAGCTTCAAGCTGTAGAGGCAGACACCAAACACAGCTTCAAGCTGTGGAGGCAGACACCAAACACAGCTTCAAACTGTGGAGGCAGACACCAAACACAGCTTCAAGCTGTAGAGGCAGACACCAAACACAGCTTCAAGCTGTGGAGGCAGACACCAAACACAGCTTCAAACTGTGGAGGCAGACACCAAACACAGCTTCAAGCTGTGGAGGCAGACACCAAACACAGCTTCAAGCTGTGGAGGCAGACACCAAACACAGCTTCAAGCTGTGGAGGCAAACACCAAACACAGCTTCAAGCTGTGGAGGCAGACACCAAACACAGCTTCAAGCTGTGGAGGCAGACACCAAACACAGCTTCAAGCAGTGGAGGCAGACACCAAACACAGCTTCAAGCAGTGGAGGCAGACACCAAACACAGCTTCAAGCTGTAGATGTCATGGACTTCAAACCCTCCCAATTGGCTTGACAGTCTATTGGCTGAGGAAATGGAACCAAGGACCTTAGACTTAGACCAAGACCCGCTCCTCATCTAGCACAATTAAGTAATTGTAACTAGAGTACATACACAAACATACACATGTAAACACAAACATACAAACGTAAACAAACACATTTATTAAAACATGAGACTGCCACAGGCGTTGCCAGGCACAACAAACATTTGGCTCCGTCACGCAAGGTTAACATGATACTTCCTGTCCCTCAGGTACCGGCCCACTCACGTCCTTCCTGCCTGTCATAGCCAGACAGAAGGGGGTGTCGGAACAGACAGTCGGCATGATATGGACAGTGCTGCCCTTCCTCAGGTGCGGCAAACTTCGAACTTTTTCAAGGATTGTAAAATATATAAAGTTTTCTTCGCTAATGTACCATCAAGAGCTTCTATATTACTCGTTCTAAATATATATATATATATATATATATATATATATATATATATATATATATATATATATATATATATATATATATATATAGGGTCCCTGTAATATCGTCGGGATTGCTCTCGACTCACCATCAGGAATTACGAGTTCGAGTCCCGGGCGGGAGAGAAATGGCTGGGCGCGATTCCAATCGCGTGATGTCCTCGTTCAACTAGCAGTAAATAGATACCCAGAAGTTAGTTAGCCTGTTGTGGAGGTTGCATCCTGGGGAGGGTCAGTAATTCGACCATGGGGATGGGGGAGGGGATTATAACCTCGACATAAGCCTCCCATGTATATATATACACTGACTGCCTGTCCCTCGACACAGTATATAGACATAACATTTTCTAATGAAAATGATCGCGTTTCCATAGGCAGTAAAATGTTTTAATTTCACTCCACTCAGTTCATAACAAAAATATAGATAACAGGTGTCCTCAGAGTCATCATTTATATTTTGTAAGTGCTACGGTCACTCTCTTTATCCCCAGCCCCGTGACCAAAACGTCTGCCGGTGCGATAGCCGACTGCTCGAAGGGACATCGTGCAGTGTTTTTAGGAGGTATCGTCGTGATGTTGGTAGCCCTCACGGGGTTATACTGGACCCCCGATATTCCTACACACTGCTTCAACGCTACGCTCATCAAGCCTCCTGGAGACTTCGCGGACTTGCAGAATTCTACGAACTCCCAGAAGGGTTCCGCGACCAGCAGCAGCACGACGCTCGACCATCTTGCGAAGCTTCACAACGGAGAAAGTGGCACCAGTAACACTGGAGGTTCCGTTTTGTCTAGTTACGGAGAGAACGCTGCCTCATCTAACCTCTCCATAGAACTCCAAGAACACGAGCTGTGTTCTTCACTCCAGGGACACATAGGTAATAACGATGATACAGTGACCGACAGATGTATAAAGAGTTGCATCGAAGACATACTAACGATGATTTGATGTGTTTTGATCGCATAAAGGCGGTAAAATGATAATGCATGATTGAGAGCATGACCCGTCATGCTCCAATTATTTCCCCCCATATGTATATCGCGCCATTGTGCGCTCTTCGTGTATCGTTTGATATGGTGTTCGCAGAGTACCTGTCTGCCGGGGAGCTGGCGAAGCGCTACGAGTTCTGGGGGTTGTTTGCGTGCCTCCTGCTGCAGTACTGCGGCCACGTCGTCGTCATCACCCTGCAGGAGACCGTCTGCTTCCAGATGCTCGGTTAGTTGCTGGCAGAGTCACAGGCTGACGGACGGACGGACGGATGAAGACACATTGACAGAATGCTTCAGAGAGACAGTTGGAAGAGAGGCAGAGTGACAACAAGATACAGAGAGCCAGATCGAAGGAAGAGATGAAAAGAGGCAGAGAGAGAGAGAGAGAGAGAGAGAGAGAGAGAGAGAGAGAGAGAGAGAGAGAGAGAGAGAGAGAGAGAGAGAGAGAGAGAGAGAGACGGAAGAGACAGTCTGACTGACAGATGCATGAATACATTGTTTTATTTCAAGCTTTCATCTTTCACTCTCATCATTTTGCTGTATTTTCTTATTTTTCATTATATCAGTTATATCTGTTGATTGTACACTAACAACAGTTGTCAGGCATAAAGTTATCTTCACCCTGTAACTGCAGGGCAGTAACGAGCACTGTGGTCTAATTGGACTAGAACGAGCGACGGTGAGGCCCTGTATCCAGTTCGTCCTCCTAAGATTTCCCCAACGTCAAGAAACTGTCGTACTAATGTGCTCTTAACGTAACCTATCAGAGGACCCAAAACAGAAAACGGGACTAGTATGTCCATCTGGCAAGCCGCGACCATTTTTCTAGTACGACGATTTTTGGGCCTTAGGTAGAGTATACGTCAAAATGCGACGTTCTATTAGGAGGACGGGTTGGAGAAATGGCCATGGCCAAGTAGCTGATATGTGAGAAAATATGACTGTGTGTGTGTGTGTGTGTGTGTGTGTGTGTGTGTGTGTGTGTGTGTGTGTGTGTGTGTGTGTGTGTGTGTAAACAATTACTGGTGAGGTTGAACAAGGGAACCAGGAGTTTGGTTGTGGTTGCAGGAGCTGCCCACCACAAGTACGGTCAACAGCGCCTGTGGGGTACTGTAGGCTGGGGCCTCTCTGCCATGGTATCTGGAGCCCTCGTCGACTGGTACTCTAAAGTAAGTCACACACACACACACTCTCACACACACACACTCACATACACACTCACTTCTAACGTAAACACTCATTAAAGTAGCCTTCCCTTTCCTTCAGTCCGGCATGGGCTCCACAAACACCGACAAACACACACACATACACTTTATCTGTGCTTTCCATCGATCAAAACATGAATAATTTTGGCGCAAACTTTGTTTCCCTATTACTTCCGGCAATGTTATATTTGTCCTGCCTCATAAATATTTCCGAAGTTTGACATAGCAAGAACAGAGAGCACGAACGAGCCTTCTGCTTCGTGAAACGCAACCCATAGTTCAATAATGTAGTAGAAGAAGGAAGAAGAAGAAGTACGTACATGAGCCACTTGCCGGGTGCCTTTTGTTGCAGGGGCTGCATAAGAAGGACTACTGGCCCGCTCACGTGTTGACCGCGGCGTTCCTGCTCACCGACCTGCTAGTGGTGGGTCGCCTGCGGTTCTCCGTCCCCGACAGGAAGATGACACCCGCTGCCATCCACGGGGCGCTGTGGCGTCCTCAGGTCCTCCTCATACTGGTGAGACAGCTGCCTCGGCCCCGTCTGCCGACTTTTGGGCGGGAACGGGGCTTGGCGCGCTGCTCCCGCTTGCTTTCTGGGGCGGGTGGGGGTGGGTGCGGGTGGGTGAGGATGGGTGGGTGGGGTGGGCGGGTGGGGGTGGGTGGGGAGACAGAGTGCGGCGTAATTCTTCACTGTGAAGAAGCAAAGTTGTGAAGGATGATGTCATGTGGAATCTCACTTCTCTGCGCCTATGTCGAATTTTCGTTTCTTGTAAGGTGTTCCATTTTGCTATATATATAACACCCTACAATGGGTTCATCTCTGTGTTATGAGTTCTGAGATTGGCTACAGAATTATTTCCCTCCTGGTGGACGCTTCTTATTAGAAAACGGAGCCTGGCTTGCAAATCAGACTAAATATTTAGAGAAATATTTGTGTATATGGCAACCCTGATCTAATTATCAAAAATGTTGTGTAAATAACTTATGAATCAGTTTAAACGTCCGTCTCTCTCCCCCTCCTTCACTATTTCTTAGTACCTCAATCCCTCTTCCCCCATCCCTTAATATTTAAATCCCTCCCGTTCCTTCCTCTCCTCATTACCCAGTATCCCTACCCTACTTCCCCCCTCTCCCTTCTACCTCTCACAAATCCTCCTTCACGAAGAACATCTAATCCCATCTCACGCAGGCGAGCATAGTGATCATAGGCTCAACCTGTGGCATGTTGTGGACCTTCCAATTCCTGCTGGTGGAGGACGTGGCCCTCCTGTGGGACCCGGACTTCCCGCATCTCAAACTCCTGCTGGGGCTGTGTCAGGGAGTCCAGTGCTTTCTGGCCGAGGTTCCCTTCTTTTTCATGGCAGGTGAGTTCTCATTGAACTGTGCGAAGTGATAGTTGTAGGCCATTCGTAGGAAGATTGAAAGGGACACGTTATGTTATGTTTATATTTCAAAGTTATTACATAGTGGGCTATATTACAGGGTGGACTTCTTGATCGAAATATGTTGATTAGTTCAGAAAGGTTGTGTCTTTATGCTCCATCCTCAACAGTTCCTTTATGTTCCATCCACAACAGTTCCTTTATGTTCCATCCACAACAGTTCCTTCATGTTCCATCCACAACAGTTCCTTCATGTTCCATCCACAACAGTTCCTTCATGTTCCATCCGCAACAGTTCCTTCATGTTCCATCCACAACAGTTCCTTCATGTTCCATCCACAACAGTTCCTTCATGTTCCATCCACAACAGTTCCTTCATGTTCCATCCACAACAGTTCCTTCATGTTCCATCCACAACAGTTCCTTCATGTTCCATCCACAACAGTTCCTTCATGTTCAAAAGCAGACCTAATCGTAATTCCCCCCAACAGGTCGCATCATTCAGAGGTTCGGGCACGTCAACACCTTGCTCATGTCGCTGGTGGGGTTCGCGCTCCGCCTCAACCTCTACTCCGTCATCACCAACCCTTGGTGGTTCCTGCCGGCTGACCTCCTCCACGGCGTCTCCTTCGGCATCGCCTACCCGTGCCTCACCTCCTACGCCAGCGTCGTGTCACCCAAGGGCGCCGCCGCCACCGTACAGGGCATCTTCGGCGCTGCCTTCTTCGGCGGTATGGCTGTCTAGGGTCTCTTATATGGTGAAGGATGTGGTGTGTGTGTGTGT